GGCTGCAGGCAGAGCTCAAGCGGGGGCCCACGGGCAGGGCTGGGGAGCCGGGCTCGGGGGCCGCGGTGGCGGTGGGCACTCACCGTCCAGGTGGTAGTGCTCCTCGCTGTCGGCGTCCGTCAGCGCGTAGAGCTCCCGCAGCAGCAGCGGGTACTTGAGGACCCTCTGGATGGGCTTGATGAGGTACGACTCCAGTGTGGACGAGTGCTGCTGCCTCGGGTTCTGCGCGTCCAGGAAGGCTTTGAACGCCGCGTCCGTCCTGGCTGCGGGGGCGACACACAGCTCATCGGGAGGTGCCCACGGGACCCCTCTCATGGAGTCAGTCTCGCTCCATGTGCCTTTCCCAGGACTGGGCGGAGGGCGCAGGAGGAAGGCGGGGCCCAGGCAGGCACCCGGAGGGCCCGTCACGCTGGCTTATTTGAAGGGAAATACCAGGGAATCATACGGCCTGTAAGTCCCATGCACTTGGTTTTTCAGGGGCTGCTCTTCACCCTGGTGTTGAGAATGTCTTTTTATTCTGATATTTTGACACCCGTGGCCTTGACCCTGGGAAACGGCCCCTCCCAGGCTGGCCGGTTCCTGGAGACATCACAGGACTCCCCTGGAGCACACCTTCCTCATGCAGACAACCAACCCTGACTCCCCCCGCCCCGCCCATCCCTCCTGTGAGCTCTCGCACTGTCCCTGTCCCATCACCCAGAGACAGCGGGGGACAGCCTGCACCAGGGCCTGCAGTCGCTCCAGCTCTCCGTCCTGAGCCGTGAACCTAGCCTCACCCTCACCTTCTCGCAGAATCGCCCATAAAGGTTCTTACCCAGGGTTCCTTTTGTCCCTGTCTCCTGACCAGCCCTGGTGCCCCCACGTGTGGCCCCGCACAGCCTGGCATGACCCTCCTCGGGGAACTGTAACTAACTGTCTTCAGTCCAACCCCCTCCTGACCTGCTGACCTCCCTACACCTAGTAGGAGACCACACCCGAAACACGCCTCACCCCAGTTTCCCCAAACTTCCAAGCTTCCCACTGCTGGCAGAGCCTCCTTTGAGAAAAGGTAGAAAAACACAGAAGCTGCTGCACCCACAGCTCTGGGAAATGGGTGCAGGTGGGTGTCCCACAGCGAATGCTTCTGACACCTGTTCTACATTAACCCAGTGCTCAGCCACCGGCTCGGGGCAGGCCGTGCCCCATGTGCCTGACTCCTAATCTTGGGCACCACCCCCCCACCCATCCCGCGTCCAGGCTGGTGAAGGCACCCTGGGGAGCTGAGGGTCCCCAGACAAGCAGTGAGCTGCCTGCCAGGGGACAGTTAGGAAGATGGGCTGGTGCCTTTAGGTGCGAAGATGTGGAGGAGACAAGAATGCGGTGAGGGCCGAACAGGAGGGAGAAAGGAGACAGCATCCCAGAGACGTAACAGTGGGCACCCGTCCCCTCAAAGCCTCCGACAGATGAAAAATGCAGCTCCCTCTCCAGGGTGAGGGGTGTGAGCCAAGATCAGAAGACGTACAAGGGCGGAGTGAAATTGTAAAACGATTCTTCCTGCCATCTCTATCCAATTAGGAAAACAGTAATTGTGGAGAAAAGCCTCAGGAAGGCCACGGTCTTTTCACCCCTTGAAGCCCCATTAAGAGGAATCGAGCTCCCTCCGTGGGTGCGGCCACCTCTCCTCCTTCTAAGGAATAAATCCCTGAAAAGCGTCTGGGAGTGAGTGGCCAGGGACCCACGCGCCAGGGAAGGAAGGCAGGCCCAGAGCCAACACAGGAAGAAGCCGTGGCTTCCGTGGGACATCCCACGTCTCGGTCCACATCTGCAAAGGACCTAGGAACTCGAGTCCTCAAGTTGAAAAGTACGGCCATGGGCATTTAACTCGGCTTGTGTTCCACATCAGGGCAAAGAGGGCAGGGCCCTCGGCCTGTGAGCTGCTGGTGGGTCCCCCACCCACCCAGCGGGCCCGTTAGGAACCACAGGCAGGTCCTTTTGTTCTCACTCCCTTCCCTTCACCCTCCGGGTATGTTTGGCCATTAGGAAAATGTAGGTCAACCGTAATGGTTTAAGGGATAGTTTGAAAGATAACGATAATATTTTTCAGGTGCAAAAGATTATTATTGAATTAAGAAAACCCACAGGGGCAGAATTTAATCTAATTGAATGTTTAAAAATAATACAAAATGCTCTAAGGGCTGTGCTGGGCGTATAATTTTACTGCAGTAACAACCTCGCAACAATCAGCCCCGCGCTGGTGTGAAGAGACACAGAGACCCAGGGGGAGCAGCCCAGTGGGACCCCAGCTCCCCTCTAAATTTCCACTGAACCAGAACTCTGGGCACAGACTCTCTACCTTGTCCGATCCAGAGACCCGCACGGTGCTAACATGTCCTGTAACGGGCGTTAAATGACGTCAAGCTCGTTCTCTTTGGCGGCAAAGCACAACACGCGTAAACTGTTTACACGCCAGCAGCTGTCCGTGTGCAGGTGTGAGGGGCAGCGGCTGGTTTCCAGAGATTCCCCCAAATCAGACCTGCCGTTGGTTACACTGCTTACCAAGGAAGCACTGCCCCGATCCTTTCATCTGTCACCACACAATGAACCGCGGAAGCAAACCCGCTTTGTGGAAACTCTCAGCATGGTCCGTATCTTCCAGAACATGCAGGGAGAGGAGTGACCAGTAAAAATTCTACTCTGTCCTGTGCAAAATTACCACAACCTCGAGCTGCGTGGTGGTTTTCTGAGTAATTGGGACAATCCGAATGGTGATGGTGGTGGCTATTAGCACACAGCTCGGAACAAAGATAGGGGAGGGGAGGAAGAAGTCCCCCAAAAGGTAAGTGAAACGTGGGAGGTGACAACGAAATCAACAACGAACAGGAGTAAAGCAGAGAATTTCCAAACACAGCGCATTTCTGGATAACTGCAAAACGACCCATCAATTCTGGCAAAAAATAACTGAGACAAAGCGTTCACTGTAAGAAAACAACGGACTGTTAATCCAGGCTACGAATGCATTTCCGTTTCTCAGCGCCCTTATTTGTGGCTGGTTGGAACACCTGCCTGCCACGTCGAGGACTCTTAGATTTTGGTCCAAAAGCCCCCCAACTGCCCGGCCGGTGTGGTCTGCTGGTTGAGAGTCAACCCATGAACCAGGGGTCACAGTTTGATTCCCGGTCAGGGCACATGCCCGGGTTTCCGGCTCCATCTCCAGCAGGGGGCGTGCAGGAGGCAGCCGATCAATGACTCTCATCACTGATGTTTCTCTCTCCCCCTCGCCCTTCCTCTCTCTGAAATCAACAAAAATATATTTTAAAAAAAACAAAAACAACCACAGTCGGCCACAGAACTGTGAACCGAGGATGATCATGCCCACCAGGCGCCCCATCCTCACAGGCCTCACCTTTCACCAGGACCTTGGGCACCTTCGTGTGGCTGGCGCAGAAGGCACTGTAGAGCTTGAAGCGGTCGGCATAGTACAGGAAGGAGCCCCCCAGGGAGAACAGCACCTTCTGGATTTAGGGAGAAAAGGCGTGGTCAGTTCAGGTTCCCGCTCACCAGGGAGTATCTCAGGACGTCTCGGGGGCCCACGTGGGCCTGGCCCGCCCCACACGTCAGCATCAGTCACACCTGTCCCAGGTCACACCTGTCCCAGACCCTCGTAGCTCACCGATGGCCTGAAGCTGCCCTCGGAAAGCACACGGGCTAGCAAATGTGCGTAACACGTGCTGGGCTTGGCCTTCTCGGTAAGCACAACGCAGAGGTTGCGGTTTTGGGGGCCGGTGTTTTTAAAAGGCCTCTGTGGGATGTTTGGACGTTAATGAGAAACACAGATGGCATTTTGGAAAAGGCAGAAACCTGCCTTCTCTCATGCACCCCTGTTGGTGGGAGGTGCAGATACCCCCCAAACTAGAAAGCGCACTAAGGTGTGAGTGGATCTGAGTGACAAACCGAGTTCCCAAGCCTGTAGTTTAGCTAATGAGCAACGCAGAGAATTCTGACAGACTGTCCACAAACGACAGCAAAAATGGTTTGTTGTGAACCACAGGTAACTGGTCATTAGAGGCCTAACGCGGTTTCCTCTACGTTTTACTTTCGGCCTTGATTTTCCAGGCGGCCCGTCCTGCCTGTCCTGCCCCAGCCTCACCCCCGACTCTGCAGGTAAAACAGAGTCAGAATCCACAGGTGTGGACCCCGGAGCCCAAGTTCAACGCAAGAGTAATTCCATGGAAAAGGGTCAAAGGGTCAAAGGGTTGCCATTCAGACAAGTTGTTCTACAAAAGTATCCATGTGCGGGGCTCGCTTTGATTCGCACGTCACATTGTAACAAGTAAAATTCAAAACCCATCAGAAACCATGTAAAGGCTAGAACCTCTAGCAGACCATCTTTACCGGCCTGGTTCGGGCAAAGGTTTCACAGACACGACACCAAAGGCACGGTCCTAACAACAACAAATGTGAAAAATGGGACTTTCTCAAAGTTAAAAATGTCTGCTATATGAAAAGATAGGCCTCGCACAGGGAGAAAATAGTACATTATAAATCATTTTTCTGATAAAGGACTTATGTTCAAGGTATTCAAAGAACTTTAAAGACTCATTAACAGGAAAACGACCCAATAAAATAAATGGGAAGATGGTCTGAACAGACGCTCCACCCAGAGGACACACCGCAGGCCACTGAGCACACGGAGCCTGCGCACCACCCGGCGGCAGGGAAATAAAAACAGAAGCCACAGGGGCGCCTGCATGCCCATCGGCACGGCTAAGATTAAGGGGGACCTCGCCTCCTCGTGAGGGCGGGTGGGGACGGCTGGGGGGGTGCGCCCGGCGCAACCACTTTGGAAAACTGTCGGGCAGTCCCTTACGAAGTTTAGCCGACAGACACTCCCTTCCATCAGCCAGTTCACGCCCAGGCGTTACCCGAGAGAAATGAGAGCGTGTGTCTACACTGCACACAAATGCTCCCAGAAGCTTTAACGTAACGGCCACGATCTGGAAGCAGCCCGGACGCCCCAGGAAGGCCAGCACAGCGCCGGATGCCCGTAAGGCGGGATAACTGCTCTGGCTCCCAGCAGACGCAGCAACTCGGAGGAAGCCCGACGTCATGGTGCCAGTAAAAGAAGCCACACAAGAAACAGAATATGCCACACGATCCCATTCGGGTGGAATTCCAGAACGCAAGCTAATCCGTGTCACAGAAAGCAGGCGTGGCTCCCCGTGGCTGACAGGCAGGGGACAGGGGCACAGAAAAGCAGGACAAATGTTCGGGCCGGGATGGGGCTCGTGATCCCGACTGTGCCGACGGTTCTGCAGGTGTGTTCACACGTCACGCTTCATCAGGCTACACGTTTTCCACACGTGCAGCACACGTCAGTCAAGCTGTTTTCTAAGAGTATATGAGGGTGACATGTATGCTGACACTGTCATCGGAAGGGAACGCAGGAAACGTGTACAGTGAGGGGAAGAGCGCCAACCGGGGGGCGGGAATAGGCCGGGCACCCTCGCAAGGCCCTCGTCATTAATCCTCGACAAGGCTGCAGGACGGCTCCCTCCCCGGTAATGACAAGCTGATCCATGAGGCAGAGTTTCCCAGAACGGGATAAATTAATGTGTTTACAGGCAGACCTAGGGTGCTGGTCGATGCTGCTAACAGCAAGTACTAAGGCCCCCACATAAAGAGAACAGAAGCCGGGGGGCCAGCGTGGGTCAAGGGCCGTCCGTGCACCAGAAGGTCACGGTCCCATTCCCGGTCAGGGCACAGGCTGGGTTCCAGGCTCGCTCTCCGGTAGGGGGCGTGCAGGAGGCCGATCCACGGTTCTCTCTCATCATTGATGTTTCTCTCTCTCTCCCTCTCCCTTCCTCTCTCTCTAAAATTCAATAAAAACTTTTTTTTTTTTTAAAAGAGAAAACAAAAGGTCGAGGTTGGCCCATCTTCCAAGGCAGAAGCCAGCAGGTGTACCCGGGTAACCCAGGCTGGTGCCCGGTGTCTCCCTTAGACAGGCAAGAGGCAGCCGGCCGCCCCCAGGGGCCCTTAGGACCTGGCCCTCGATGACAGTCCAAGGAGGACGCCACACGGTGAGCACAAGGAATCGCCAAAGAGACCACAGCGCCCCCGAGCCTGAAGGTACCTACGGGACACCCCACCCGGGACACTGGGGCAGCGTGAGGCTCTCCGAGGCCGACTTACCTTAAACTGATCAACTCTCTCAAGGTTTTCCAGATCCGGCACTAGTCTCACCCCATCTTCCAGGGTTTTAAGGAATTCTACTTGAAACTCGACCATTTCGGTTAAGTTTCCAAAGAGCACATCCAGCTGGAAAATGAAAAAGAATTTAAATCTACTTTTTATTTCATTAGGGCTCAGAAACTTTATTTGCTTCGGATTTCAACATTTTTCTATCCATCCGTAGCGATTAAGATAAGGATCCCGCCCCCAGAGGATGGGGCAGCTCCTTAAGCTCCCAGCGCAATGATTTGACGTGTTTGCTACAATTAAACGAACTGGAAACCCTCCGATCTACGCCCCGGCCCTCGCCTGTAGGCTGCGGAGTCACCGTACCTCATCGTGGGTGAGAAAAGTCTCCTTCTGAAGCGGTTTTAGGTATCTCTCCATGAGGCAGTTCAAGTCCTAAGAGTTAAAAGAAAACCTCATTAGCACAGGGTCTAAAAGTCTATGAAGAATCTAAAGGGGGAAAAAAAACCCCACACATCATGTCCCAAATGCCAGCGGTCCAGTCGTTAGGCCACTAAAGGCCCGTAAAGGATCCAGCAGGCTTTTCTGTAAACCCTTCGGGCTTTGCAGCCACGTGGCCTCGGTCACAGCCACTCAACTCGGCTGCTGATGTCGCAGGAAAGAACGGGTGTGGCCGAGTTGCAATAAAACTTTATTTGTAAAAGCAGGCAGAGGGCTGGACGCAGCCTGAGGGCCACAATTGGCTGACCCTTGATTTAAAGACGAGAACGGATCATTCAAGACGGATGGCGCTGTTGTAACATATAACTGAACCACATACAGAAATACATTTATATTATAATTACAGGAACTGTTAGAAACTGTACAGTTATGTGTGTGATATGAACATATAGTATGAATTATATAGAAATACACGAATAGAACTGAATGTCCAAATAAGTAACAATACAAAAAAAAAAAACAGATCTGACACCCTTCTGCCTAGACTCAGATTAGATTCTGAAAATGAATTTTTCAAAACTAAATTCCATTTTAGGGTCAGCTCAGCAACGTTCCTTAGAAAGGTCAGAAGGGTCACTTATAATCACCCCGCTCTCCTTTCCTCGTCAACCGAGACACAGGGTGGGGCAAACGTAGGTTTACAGTTGTGAGTAAGCAAAACAGTTTATTCTTGCATTATGACTTATTCGTTAGGGTATTATCTCCATATGAACATCGTAAGCCTTCTTTTGCCCCACCCTGTATACCTCAGTGAACTGCTGTACGAATCGATGTGCTGCCTTAAAACACACAAGGAAAATCTTAATGTTCGGAATAAAGACAACCTTCCACGGGAGGGGCCGAGATGGTCCTGGCTCTGTGGCCCGGCTTTGCTGTCTGTCACACGTGGAAACAGACTCCCCAGGAGGGCTGGTGGGGACACTCACCTTCACGTAGGTACGCTCCGTCTCCAGGAGCTCGCAGATCACCTTGCGCAGCTTGTCGGCGTCCGTGAGCTGCCGCGTGGTGGACAGCTGCGGCCCGCCGGGGTCCTGGGGGGACGGGCTCGGGTCACTGGGGTTCATCTCGCGCGGACTGTGGCAGGACGCGGCCCCCTGTTCCGTGCTCTCCAGAGCAAGGGGAAAGGGCAGGGCAGGTTAGGTCAGCTGGCACTCACCAGAGCAACCTGTCCGGCCTCTGTCCCTCCTCAGTGTCCCTCCCGTCCATGACCTGCCCCACACGAGCTCCCCTCTCCTCTCCCCAAACGGCTCCCCACATCCGAGCTCACCGGACACTCAGAACGACCACCACGGCCACCGCTAACACCCACTGTGCACTGGGCTAATATATTTCATCCCCCCACGCAGTCAGTAAGGGCTACTGTTCCCAAGTGACAGCTGAGCAACCGAGGCCCAGAGAGGGTAAGTAACTGATCCAAGGTTAAACAGCCTGGTAGTGGCAGAACTGAGAGCTGAGCCAGGCAGCCTGGTCCGAGGCCTGGGCTCTTAACCACCTGGCGAGAAACTTACCCAAAGGAGGCGGAAGAGACAAGAGAAGTTGAGGGCATTTCACCCAGTAAGCCTGAAGCTTACTATCAGACTCCCAGTTAGTGTGCTACATAGACTGTGTCATGTTGGAGATGATTTTACAAGCTCGGATTCATCCTGGCTTTGTTAAAAACTGCTTTTGCGGCAACTTTCTAGATAATCAGAGATACCCATGTATTTTTTTTAAAATGTTTCCAGCTTCTCCAAAGGCAGAAAGAGGCCTTTCCCCTCTGAGAATCAGAGGTGCTGGGCCCTGAACAAGCCCTCGATGGGCAAGCCCAGTATCGACCTAGTTTTTGTCCAGGATGATTCGGGTGGAAGTTTAGGACGTCAGGATTCTAAGACTCCAACTTTGCCAGTTACAGAAAGCAGGTCTCCATGGCATGGGCTGCTGACACCCGTGGGAGCAGCAGGTCTCCGCGGGGGTCACAGTGGATTCATGGGGGGGCCTGTGAGCCCCCCAGTGCCCAGCGCTCCCTCCAGGTCGACGCAATCAGGCCTCTAGATGGGCTGTGCGTGCCGCCCCTTTAAGAGCTCTGTATGGAATTCCTGCAGGGGCTACTTTGTAGCACAAAATCTCATCTGTTACCATTTGTCCAAAGGCACTGCTCAGTGTTTGCCGGGTGTGTCCCTGAAGGTCGGCTGCCTTCCTGGACGCTTCTCTCCTGCCTAAGTCACCCGCGGGCACAAAGCATTTCCGATACGGACGCGTGCAAACAAAAAATTACTTTTCTCACTGACCCACCCAAAATTGCAGCTGGTGCCCAGGGATGAAACCCAAGGCTGGGAGGGCGGAGGACGGGAGCGGACCCTGACATGCCCTCCTCATGCCCTCGTCCCAAAAGGAAGGAGGCCCGTGTTAAAGGCCACCTGACAAGGAGGCATCGGCCCCGATGTCACAACAGGGACAAGGACTGCCGGGACTCAGGTCTGGACAGTGACCCGATTCTGTGACAACTTATGTACTGCTCGCATCAACACTGGCTTTACCTGCCGAAAAGTACCAGTCACCTGTCAGGGGCACTTTTCAATATTCTCTATGGCATCTGTCTCAGACACTGAACATTCCCCAAAGAATTCGCCTTCGGGGGATGGACAAAAACTCACCCCAGTGGGCTGAGCTGCATGTGAACTGTACCTCAATAAGGCTGTTACGAAAGAAAGACTACTGGCCTGTCCCGGTGCTGACCAGTGGTTACAGCCCGCACACCAGAGGGTCACGGGTTCGATTCCCAGTCAAGGGCACGTAGCTGGGTTGAAGATTTGCTCCCAGGCAGAGGCTCGTGCAGGAGGCAACCAACAAATGTGTCACTCACATCAATGCTTCTCTCCCCTCGCCCCCCCTCCCCCTTCAACTCTCTGAGGATACAAAATATCCTCTGGTGAGCATTTTTTTAAAAAAAGGCAACAGTCTACAACCTTGGCACTCAGACACATATCAAAGGCGGGACATCCCAAAGACACCTCCTGCTCCAGTTTGCCTCAGTGGTTAGAGCGTCGGCCTGCAGACTGAAGGGTCTGGGTTCGATTCCAGCCAGGGGCACCTACCTTGGTTGCAGGCTCCATCCCCAGCCCCGGTTGGGGCACACGTGGGAGGCAACCAATCGATGTGTCTCTCTCACATCAACGTTTCTCTCTCTCTCCCGCCCTCCCTTCCACTCTCTCTGAAAAGCCATGGAAAAAATATCCTCGGGTGAAGACTTAAAAAATAAACAAACAAAAGACACCCCTCTCTGTGCCCCCAGTTCCTCCTGCACTGGAGAGTATGAGGGACAGTGGGGGTGGGGCTCCTGGGTTTTCATTTCCTCTGTTTCACCATAAATACCTTGAGGTTTCTTTTTTTTTTTTTAAATATATCTTTATTGATTTCAGAGAGAGGAAAGGAGAGGGAAAGAGAGAAACATCAGTGATGAGAGTCATTGATCGGCCGCAGCCCGCAACCCAGGCATGTGCCCTGACTGGGAATCGAACCCCAATCACCTGGATCCTAGGTCGACGCTCAGCCACTGAACCACACCCAGCTGGGCGAGGTTTCCATTTTTAAGAGGTGAGCAGGGTTCCTGTGTGAAGTTTGCCACCTCTCAGGTGAGAGGTCCTTTGTTTTAAACAGGCCCAGGGGAAGCTCAGGTTGGTGGGATGTGGGCTAACCCTTCATTGCTCTAAAACTAGCCACCTTCTCCCAACCCCTCCTCCCAGGCCAGGTTCCTCACTGGTCCTGAATTACACTAGCAAATGCCTTCAGCATCCCCGGGGACACCTAAAAATTCCCTCGACTCCTCTCCTGGGAGCTCAGAGGCGTGGGCGTCCCTCCCTTCACAGACACACTCGCAAGCTGAGGACAGATCCAGCCAGGTGGTCAGGTCCAGGAGGGGGCAGAGCAGCCTCCCCGCTAGCAACGCTGCTCTCTGGTTCAAGGCCCAAACTCTCAGGTTTACCACAAGGAACTGGGTCAGAATGGATGTAATCTTTTCACTGTCAGTCACAAGCTATTTAAGGAAGGAATTTAGCCAGGAAGGAATTTAGCCTGGCCGGGCGTGGCTCAGCAGTTGAGTGTCGACCTAGGATCCAGGTGATCGGGGTTTGATTCCTGGTCAGGGCACACACCCGGGTTGCAGGTTCCATCCCCAGCAGGGGGTGTGCAGGAGGCAGCCGATCAATGACTCTCATCATTGATGTTTCTCTCTCTCTCTCTCTCTCTCTCTCTCTCTCTCTCCTTTCCTCTCTCTGAAATCAATAAAGATATATTTAAAAAAAAAAAAAAGGAAGGAATTTAAAAACGTAGAATTATAAGTTATCGTGCATGTCTTGTCAAAGGGCAATGTTTACAAGGCTCTTAATAAAATCTGGCTTAGAAACAATTAATTTAAAAAGATTTTGTCAAGAATTTTGTTTTACCAAAATATTGCCCCAAAAAATCCTTAGAAGGAAGCAAGATACACAGTGCTGCTTCAGAATACACCTAATCTAGAGATTTTACATATTTCAGCAGCTCTCTTTTCTAATTTTTTAAAAAATTTATTTTAGAGAGAGAGGAAGGGAGAGGGAAAAAGATATAGAAGCATCAGTGTTGAGAGAGAAACACTGATCGGCTGTGTCCTGCATGCCCCCTACTGGGGACCAAGCCCAAAACCTGGGTATGTGCCCTGAATGGGAATCGAACCGGTGACCTTTCAGTGCACAAGACAACACTCAACCCACTGAGCCACACGGGCCAGGGCTCAGCAGCTCCTGAGTCACTCTGCCCCCACAGTGTGAACAAAGGACATCAAACTCCACAGGGCCTTCCCCGCCCAGCCTGGCCATGGCCACGGCCTGGGATGCAGGAGGAGCCCGCCCAGCTGTCCCCGCCCAACACTGAGGTGACCTGGCATCCTGGTCATTCCCCGCCCAGCACAGGGGCCAGATGTGCCCAGACAGGGAGCTGCCCTGGGAGGTTCCACGCACCCCCGAGAGCCCACGTCCCCAGATGGGCATAAGCAGCGAAGGACTGCAGAGAAGGGGGAGCCGGGGTTCCCCAGCGGGAGGAAGACCAGCCTGTCCGCAGGGAGGAGGGCAGTCAGTCACCATGGAAACAGAGCTTCCGGCTCTCAGAGCTGTCCCGGGTCAGGACCGAGAACAATCCCACAGACACACGGAGAAGAACAGGATGGAGGAGAAAATGGGGGCGCACTGTTCCAGATGCCACTCTCCCCCCGAGATGAGAGGGAAGCTCAAAGGCCGGGCTTTAAAGTGCCCGGCACGGCCCCCGCTGCCCGGCTGGGGCGCCTCCCGCTGGGCAGTTGCTAAGGCAGCTCCTACCTCTGGATGAGCTCACGGGTCCAAAAGCGCCCCTTTGAGTCTCCACAACTGAACACACCCCACAGATTCAAAAGGAGCAGCACGGCCTAAAACCTCAGCCTTTACTTTGGCTATTTGGGGACAAGCCCCAGATTGGCAGGCGCCATGGTCTCAGAGTCCCCATCGCCTTTCAGACTCATGAACAAACCTGGAAGAAGGAAATTCAAAAGCAAGGGCTTTTCGCTAAATCAGACACTCTCACTGTCACCGTTCAAGTTTCCTTTACGTAACATGAAATCCAACAGCCGACAGACCTTGGGGTTAGCATGAGACTATAAAAAGGCTTCGTCTGATTTGGGTAAATTACTCCCAACCACTGGCCCACTGATTTCCTCACTCGGGAGTCAGCACGAACCACAGGAACCAACATGGACAACACAGACCACCTGGCATTAGACCCTGGGCACATCCCAGAGCCAACCCTTCTGCTTCCGTCTCCTTCTCGAGCCCACAGAGCAAAGTCAGAAACACCTGAGACGCGAGAGGCGAGAGGCGAGCGGAGCAGCCTCCCTGCAAACACGCCGGCTGAGGCGAGAGGGAGAGGGGACAATTCAAACCACAGTGAAAAAAAGAAATGCACCTTTCTGCCATTTAAGAGAAAACACAGATCCAGGTAAAGGTTCCGAGGAAAATTCAACTTCACGCAGACTGCGGGCACCTCACCCCCACGCGGAAACACCCACTCCTCACCAACACGGCTCCCAGGGCACGGGGAGGGGGCTCCGAGAAATGGGGCACTCAGATCGCCCTCTGCCCCCCGGGGCCTGAGGCAGCCGGAGTCGCCCGGCGCCTGAAGCAGGCAGCAGGCAGAATGCGACCCTGCTCACCGGCGAGGACCTGCAGACAGAGTCCCCGGGCGGGTCGCTGCTCCCGGCCCTGGGCGCGTGCTTCCTTCTCCACAGCGCGGACATCATCCGGACACATCCCCCGCGACTCCACCTGGCTGCGGGGCGCAGGAGCCGGAGGATCCTAAAACACTCCAGCAGCACCGGCGCCTTCCCGCTCCCGGGGCAGCCGGCTCCCACGGAGACAGCCCGGGGCCGCCGGGCGCTGTCCCCGCAGGACCCCCGGCCACATCTCCGCGCAGACAGGACAGGGACTGCAGCCCTGCGCCAGTGCCCGCTGCAGGGGCTCAAAGTCTGGACCCCGGACGAGAATCCATTGTTTGCTTGCACCCGGCTGGCCAGCGAAAGTTCAGAGAGGGGGCACCAAGCGGCACCACCAGGGACCAGAGCAGAGATGCTCCCCGGGGACCAGAGCGGCCACTGAGCGGACCTGAGTCAGCTGACCGGCCGGCGTCCTGCGCTGCCTGCGACAGGAACCCCGCGCAACTTTGAAGACTCGCGGAGCCGGGGGCGGGCACTGGGAGGCACAACGGGGTTTTTTAACACTTTATATTTTCACATTTTCCGCTAAGGCCGTTGTCAGCAAAGCCGACTTTCCCGAGACAATCCCAGCGTGAACTAGACAGAAAAGGAGGGTTTTCAGAATGAAAATGTTCTGAAAATGATTCTGATACATTTGCTAAACGGAAAACAAAGTCGAAGCGCCCCCAGGACACGGCTGCCCCCGGCTGATCAGCATCCGGTTCTGAGACAGCGACTGGGATTAAAAGCAGGGAAACGAGTGGCCAGTGGGGAGGTGGCCCTCGGAGGCTGTCACCACAGCCACCGGGAAGGAGATGGCTCACAAAGGGGAAGGCGCCAGCCCCCTGCGGCGCCAGCCCCACCCCCACCCAGGACGCGACATTCCAGAGCCGCCACCTCAGCAAGCGCCCAATTACCTGCTCGCTCAACCTCAAAAGGCTGCGTGGAGCAAAAACTGCTATTTAAAAAAAAAAAACAGAAAATTCCAACATGGATTCTCTCTATCCTGCCCAATATTTCTTAGAAGTGAGATATGGGGGGGCATCTGTAATAATGTCAACAATAAAAATAAAATAGAATAATAATGAAATAAATGAAAATTTTTAAAAAATTTTTTTTAAAAATTAATATTACTGTATACAATACACACAATACAGTACACAGATGACATATTATAGACATGTACACCTGAAACCTGTATGACTCTGTTGGCCAATATCACCCCAATAGTCAATAAAAAATTTAAATTTAAATTTAAAAAAGATTAAAAAACCAAAAACCATAAAATTCCAACATACATTCTCTGTATCCTGCCCAATATGTCTTAAAACAATTCATTTAGGAAAAACGGCAAAGATATTAAATCAACAGCTGTCACATATTTAGCCAGGATGAAAAATGATTGTTTGATTTCACTTATATGTTCGTTTGTTCTTTCCCTTATTTATAGGTTTCTACACCCAACCACCCTGCCGCACTCAAAGTCACCCTCCCGTACGTAGGCAGCTCACAACACAAATGGTTTCACTGTATCTTCAAGAAAAATTACACACTGATGTAAGAGATGCATCGAAAAATATCTAACCTTAATCAAGAAACTTAAACTATAATTAAAAAATAAAAGAACTTCCAAAAAATTTGAAAAATTAAAAAATTTTTAAAAGATACGTACTTGCTCTTACTTTTAAATCATAAAAAAGGACCTAGAAATCTTAAGTCTTAGGAAAATATCTGAGTAGTTAAAGAGCAAATATCTAGCCTGGTTGTAACAGCACTAATCAATTAATTCCTTCCTTTTTGGAAACCTGGTGTTGAACACCAGACCTTGAAAACTAGCCAGAAGGCAGTTTTAGAAAAGCAGTGAACAACGCGAGGCCTGGTTTTGCCACGTCAGAGCTGTGTGACCTGCAATGAGTTGCTGAACTTCTCTGTTCCACTATTGTCATCTATAAACAGAGGGAATCACAGTATGTGCCTCTCAGGGGTTCCGGGGGGACGAGCGCAGCTACCACAGAGCAGTGCCCAATATATGCAAGACACTAAGTGGTATCAGCTCTCGTTTATTACTAATCACACACAGTAGAGCCCAGCCGCCAAGACTCCTTCCCCCTTGATTTAAAGTTTTTGCTTCCAAACATCCTCAGAGAGAAATTTAATCCACAAAAGGTGATTTCAGTTGAGGAACTTAGGGTGCATGACAAAATAATTCAAATAAAAAATATAAAACCTGAAGGAAACGAAAACGAGGGAGCATCTCTGCGCATTTCACACGGCGGTCCCGGCCGAGTGAGAGTAATAGGAGCCCATGGTTCCCCTGAAGCCCTGTTCGATCCTCAGACATATGAAGACAGTCACCCAACCTTGTCAATAATGTGAAGAAATTCCGTAGTGAAATCCAGGAACAGCACCGCCTGTGCCTACACCCGACCCTGTGTGCTCCGGCCTCGTAAGAAAGTCAGTGGACAGGACCCTGGGGCCCCTTCCTTCCTCTGCACTGACCTCATGACTCACTGTATTTAAAATGGAAACAATCTCAAATCCACAAGGGAGTGAGAACACTGGCCGATTACAGGGAGGCAAAAATGACCCAAGTTAGAAACTATTCAGAAAAAAAGGTTTTAGAAACAGGAAAAATAGCTGTATTCCTAAATCAAACTAGAAATTGAGAATTCACATTTTCAGTTTCAATAACAAAACAACTAAGTAAATACTGTTCAAAATATCTTACCTCAGTATGGAAATGTCTGTTTCTCTTGAGGGGACTGGCCCTCCCCCCACAAAAAAAAATTAAGTAAGGGCCACAAAAATAACTTTAAGCAACTTTTTGTTTGTTTGGTGTGTTGCTGGTGTGTGTTTTTTTTGGGGAGGGGGCTTTAAATGAAACAAGTATATTTCCATTCATGTTTTAATAATCAACAAAGCCTTTCAGTCTATAAGCTTTAAATTTATGAATCTTAAAATTACTTTCAAGTACTGTTTTATACTGTGCTTGATTTAGAAAGGACAGAGAAGGGAGAGCCTACGATGCTGAAAAAGAAACGCATAACATATGCACTCAAGAAAGTCCTACAGCCTGGCCGGGGTGGCCCAGTTTGCTGGGCGTTGTCCCTGCACTGAGGGGTCACGGGTTCGATCCCCGGCCAGGGCACACGCCTGGGTTGCAGGCTCGATCCCCAGTAGGGGGCGTGCAGGAGGCAGCCGATCCATGTTCCTCTCTCATTGATGTTTCTCTCTCTCTTTCCCTTTCTCTCTCTTTAAAAACTCAATAAAGACATTTTAAAAACGTCCTACAGAGACAAACACAGAGAGAACAAAATAACGCCAGGGAGGTGGGGGTATTACGTACTGGTCCACATCAGTGTGCTCGGCACAGTGTATCATCCGACCCCTCCCTGCCCCTCAGTCACTGGGCAAAGGTGAGAATCACCTCATGTTGCAGATGGTGACTGGCAGGGGTCAAACAGAGTAAGAGACGGGTAGGGGGGTCAACAGGTCAACATCGCTATAAAAAAAGAGATGAATGCCCGGCCGGGCAGGGCTCAGCGGTTGAGCTTCGACCTGGTAGGGTCCAGGCGATGGAGGTTCAATTCCCGGTCAGGGCACATGCCCGCTTGCGGGCTTGATCAATGACTCTCTCATCATTGATGTTTCTATCTCTCTCCCTCTCCTTTCCTCTCTCTAAAATCAATAAAGATATATTAGAAAAAAAAAAAGATGAAGAAATACAGAAACATCATCTCACACAGCTGCTTTTGCTGGGGCGGGGTCTCTAGGGCACGGGTAACAAATCTTGGGAAACAAAGTCACGGTCTTGCGCCGAAGATCAGAATAAGAAGGTTCTCAGTGCTCAGCCCACTGAGGAAACTCTAGCTGCAGGGAGAGAAACAAGGTATCCTTCCCCTTAACGTGGAAGAGGCTCACTTTGAACCTGAGCTGAGCACGAGCCTGCAGAAGCTCATCCCAGAAACTGATACTGTTGCAACTTATCCCAGTTACAAGTAACTGGAAAGGAGCAAAGGGAAGGCCAAGTGCTGTGCGCATGCCCGGGGAAGTCTGCGTGGAACAGGGAAGGCGCTTGCCTGTCAGTCACACCCGGGGACGGGTCATTGGCCAGAGTAGGCGTGGCCACTGCAAGCTTGGGAAGATCTGAGATCATTAATCCAGACAAAGGCGTTCGCTCTCTTGCTCTCCTGGTTCTCTTGAGACTCTTGTTGCAGGGGCCACGCTCTCCTGGCTCCCCTGCAATCGCCCACGTGGCCCACAGCCGGGGGGACCCCACACACACGGACAAATGGGCTACAACTAGCCTCATGCTACACCGGACCCAGCTCCACCATGGAAAGTAAACTTTCTACACTGGCTCTGCTTCTAGCTCTGCTGAATCCCAGCTGCACCTCTTCCAGGGCTGGATTAAGGGAAATGGGACTTTACAAACCCAGGGGTGTAACTCCAAGCAAATAGAAATCACTCATCTTCCCGTGCCACTCTCAGAAAATTCTTTTTCTCGAGGTATCGTAAGGACCCCACTCCCACTAGCAATGGGAAAGGCCAACCACAAATTTCTCCAGTAACAAAACCACGAGTCACAGACCACAGGGCAGCCCCAAAGCGCTCGGCTGAGAGGCTGTGTCACCATCCACAAAGGGATGAAATCGGACTTCCATCCAGGGACAGTATTCTGCCTGCTCTCCCATCCACGGGTCTGTCGGCGAGGCCGTCGTTTGGACTTCCTATCTTATTTAGCGACATCTCAGAAGCAAAAACACCTGGTCCCGTGGGGGGGCATCTAGTCACATCCAGCTGCAGAGGTGACGTGTCAGCTGGGACCCTCGGGTGGCTCAGGATGGGAAGTGAAAATGAAAATCTCTCACCTTGCTGCTGTGGTCGGTGTCATCTGAGGACTCCACGTCTGGCCCCTCGGCCTCCTCGGGGGCGGTCTCAGCGCTGCTGCCCTGGGCGCCACACAGGCTGTGCCCTGCGGGCGGGAGCAGAGGGAACATGGGTGGGTGGACAGTGACAGCTACAGGTCAGCGTGGGGGGGGCAGGGAGTCCACTCACAGTGAGAACAAATATTGTCCCACCCTCCAAGCACCAGCTCCACCGCCTTGGCTCAACGTTAGTTTTTATTACTACTATTGTTATTACTACCACTGTTACTTGATAGGATAACATTTTTATTACTTATAACACATGGTAACAGTTATGACGCCCCCACACATACACCTGTGGAAGCTCTAACCCCTCATGTGATGTATCAGGAGGTGGACCCAGGTACACAAACCCTCCGTCTGTAACAGCTCTGAGTCTCTACAAACATCTAACTCCAGGCTCCCACAATCCCGGCCACGTCTACACAAACGAGAGGGAAGGGGAACGTCAACGTCACTGTCCTCTGAGAGGCTCCCGAATCTGAAGAGCGTCTCAGACTCAGTCAGTAGATTCGCCACTGGACCCGGAATTCTGCGGATCTTACAGGCGCCGAGGGATGCCACCAACACTTCGGGTCCACGGACGACACTGGGGTAGCAAGATTCCCGGTCGTTAAAAAGCTCCAGCCAGGCTCGGCCGGGGTGGCTCTCGGGGGTTAGGGCATCAGCCAGCACACGGAGGGGTCCCAGGCCCGATTCCAGGTCAAGTCAAGGGCACATACCTGGGGTGCAGGTTTGATTCCGGGCCCTGGTTGGGGCACGTGCAGGAGGCAACCAATCAACATGTCTCATATCCCTCCTCCTCCCTCTCTGTCTTTCTCTCTCCCCCCTCTTCCTTCCCTAAAAAGCAATGGGGAAAATTTCCTTGGGTAAGGATTTTTTTTAAAAAAAGCACAAACCATAAGAGACAGAAAATCAAATTTTCCTACAATGGAAATTTATTCTTTGTCAAAAGGCCCCATAAACGAGGCAGACGCAGCAGAATGGGAGGTTTATCGCCCATGCATCTAACTGGCAAAATATTAATAAACAGACTATAAAAGAACTGATTGCAAAGCGGTGTTCTTCTCTTCCCTGTTGTGCCGTTAAAGATAAACGTTAATAAGACAGGAGAGAAGGGCATCCCTGCCGCCTGCGGTCGAGTCGCAGAGACGACAGTGGGCCCAGCCGCTCAGCACGGATCCCGGGGTCTCTCCCACCCCAAGAGTCTTCGCTGGCCTGCGACCTGCTGTGGCCCACAGGACCCAAGTCCCACAGTTTCCGGTCTGGCCCCAGGGAACCCCAAGCCCACTTTCAAAGAAACGCCGCGTTAGGCTCGTGAGGCTGCGAGACCTGAAGGACAGAGGCTGCGGCCCACTGACCGCCTGGCCTCAGAAAGTAAAACTAAGATGCCGGGAAAGGGTATCTGTGCTGGAACTCTTACTTCTTAAAAAACTGTCTTGGATATAGGTTTGTCCTCGTGTACTGAGGTTCACTGTGGTGTTTCCTTGACTGGCTATGGAGGTCCAGACACTGCCCCTCGGGGCACCTGGGGGGCATCCGAGGGTCATTCTGATTGGCACGACCCTGCCTCGGTGTGTAAAATACGCCGAACACCGACGCACAGGGAGGCCCACAACGCACATTACCCGTCCCCAACGTTTAGCAGCGCCAGATGAGATCCGGGTTCAAAATAAATCGCAGAGCCTGGCCAGTGTGGCTCAGTGGTTGAGCACGGACCAGGAGCCAAGAGGTCAGGGTTCGATTCCCGGTCAGGGCACAGGCCTGGGTTGCAGGCTCATCCCCAGCAGGGGGCGAGCAGGAGGCAGCCGATCCGTGACTCTCATCATGGATGTTTTCCTCTCTCTCCCTCTCCCTTCCTGTCTGAAGTCAATAAAAACCTATTTTTTAAAAAATCACACGGGTGGGAACGTCAGAGAGGGATTTTGGAAACGGCGCTCTCAGTCTCCCCACTTCCCACTCCAGCCGCCCCTTCAGGCCGAGGCTCTCTCCGTAGTAACAGCCGCCGAAGGGACTGCGTTTGTGTCCCAACATCCTTCCCCCTTGTTGGCCAGCAGGCACCGGACAAACGTGGGGGAAATCAGACGGAAGTAGGCCCAGTTTCCAACCTTCGGCCCAGTAAGGTTTCAGCGAGGGCTCACGGACGGCAGACGCCCAGAATGGGAAACTGAGTCTTGGAGAGCAGCGAGGACGGGGTCTCCTCATTCGGCCCCAGCTTTCTGGCCAACACGTGAACCCGACCCGGGGCTTCCGTCCCTGCGTCAAACCTCAAGCCTGCCCGCTGTGCCCGGTTCGCACCCGCTTCCTGCTCTGTGGGAACCACAGCTGCCCATGGGCCCTGCTCTCTCTCGGCCTCATCTTGGGGCCGTCTCTCCGGCTGCTTTATCCTGTTTACCCGCCTCCCTTTCGTCTTTCGCGGTAAGTGGGGGGCAGGAAGCGGCAGCAACAGGAAGGCAGAGGGAGACCCAGGCGGGGGCCGCGCCCCCCCAGCCGTGGGACCGGGCTGAGCGTGGAGAATCCCCTGGAACTAGCGACGGAGCCGACGCAGGAGCCTCACGGGAAACCGACCCGACTTCGCCCACGCGGTTTATCCCTGACCCGGCCTGATCGCCCAGCTTGCCGGGCAGGTTTGTTCTGAAGGGTTTGATCACTGCAAAATATTAAACGACGAAACGGCTACGAAACAAACACCGCCCTGCAGTGCGAGCCTGCGGACGTAACGCTTCCCCGGCTGCCACGGTAACGTCAGGGCCGCTCGGTGCCCGGCGCCCAGTGGGTACTTAACAGTGCGCGAGGGCCATCTAACTGGAGAAAAGGCAGTGACTAAACCTTCTGAGGACAACTCCAAGTGGAAGTTCTAACGTGGTTTAAACAATGGCAGCCTCAGCGGACTTAGCGCCTGGCCTTCAAGGCGTCTGTCTCGAGGAGGCAACGTGACGTGGGACTGAAAGGCCAGCGGTTAATTTAAAACTCCAGCATGTAAAAGACGGGACCTATGCATCTGCATACACTTCTAAAACAGATACCTATATAGAAACGCGTTTTTAATTTTTAAAAACTTAATGAAATTTTTAATTTGCACCCTGGCCAGTGTGCTCAGTGGTTAGAGNCTGTGCACCCAGAGCGTCGGTCTGTGCACCCAGGGGTTGCCGGTTCAAGTCCCGGTCAAGGGCATGTACCTGGGTTGCAGGTTCGATCCCCGGCCCTGGTCGGGGTGCAACTGATGTGTCTCTCTCACAANGGTTAGAGTGTCGGTCTGTGCACCCAGGGGTTGCCGGTTCAAGTCCCGGTCAAGGGCATGTACCTGGGTTGCAGGTTCGATCCCCGGCCCTGGTCGGGGTGCAACTGATGTGTCTCTCTCACAATGAAGTTTCTCTCTCTCTCTCTCCCTCCCTTCCACTCTCTCGAAAAAAAGTCAATAGAAAAAAATATCCTCAGGTGAAGATTAACAAAAGTAAAAATTAAAAATAAAAATAAGTTAATTTGCAACGTACACACACGATTTTTGAAGAAGAAACACACTAACACAGTGACCATCTTTAAAAGAACAGCTCAGGAGCCGTTTAGTCGCACCTGACACTGGGGTCAGCAAACTTCATCTGCAAAGGGCCAGAGGGTAAGTTTACGGCTTTGCAGACCATGAGTCCCGGTCACGGCTCCTCAACCCAAGCTGTTGTCATGGGAAAGCGGCTACAGACAAGACATAAGTGACNAGTCACGGCTCCTCAGCCCGGCTGTTGTCACGGGAAAGCGGCTACAGACGAGACATAAGTGACCCAGCGGGACTGTGTTCCTACGAGACTGTGTTTACAAAAAAACAGGCCTGAGCCCAGCTGGTGTGCTCAGTGGTTAGAGCACCGTCCTCTGCACCAGGAGGTCAGAGGTTCGATTCCTGGTCAGGGCACATACCCAGGCTGTGGGTTCAATCCCTGGTCGGGACGAGTAGGGGAGGCAACTGACCGACGTTTCTCTCTCTGCCCCTTTCTCCTTTTCTCTCTTTCTAGAATCAATTAAAAAAAAAAACAAAAAAACAGGCCCGAGGCTGGACCNCTTCTCCTTTCCTCTCTTTCTAGAATCAATTAAAAAAAAAAACACAAAAAAACAGGCCCGAGGCTGGACCTGGGCAGCAGGTCAGTTGGCCGCCTCTGCTTTATACCCACAATTACAGGAAGGGCTCAGGCAGATTAAAACAATCCAGAGAGAGCTGAGCACACACTGCTGTCTGCAGGATGTCCATCCAGACTTAAAAAAATCCAAATCTTAACAGGTGGTTCATTCCGAGTCATCACAGCGACAGTGGGACCCGGTTCACGGGCTCGAGCCTGCCACCTTGTGGTCACCGTGAGGAGCGGCCGCCAGGTCGGGCGGAGTCCAGTTCTCCGGGTCCATGGGCTGTGGGCGGGACAGTGGCCGCAGGACTCGGGACGTCAACAGGAGCAGGGGCACCTGGCTTCCCGCAGCCTGGGCTTGGGGAATCTCCCCGAGAGCCCCGGAGAACAAAAGGATGATGCTCTTGCCCGGCAGGGGCTGCCCTTCGCTCCGATTTTGAAACCGAAGGTGTTTTTCTTTAACCCAAGTTTTTAAAAGAAAATAAATTCAAATACTAAANGGAAGGCGTTTTTCTTTAACCCAAGTTTTTAAAAGAAAATAAATTCAAAACCCCAACCTACTAAATGGAGCCCAACTCCAGACCTGGGGTGCTCAGGGCTCTCTCACCCTAGGGAGCCACCTGAAGGAGTCAGGCGAGGGGAGGGGACAGGCTCAGGGCTCGGACACAGGCGGGAGGGACAGGGCGACGGGATTAGGGCAGGTGCCCGGTGACGCTGCAGGGCCTGGGGACCCAGAGCAGGGGGCTCACCCTGGGGTCCCAGGAAGGCCTCACAGGGCAGGGAGCACCGCACAGCTTCTTTTAGTTAACACTCACCTGAGGATGTTTTTCCATTGATTTTTAGAAAGAGTGGAAAGAAGGGAGGGAGGGAAAAAACAGAGGGAGAGAGAGACATCGATTGGTTGCCTCCCACATGCATCCCGACCAGGGTGGGGGATCGAACCTGCAACCAAGGTACGTGCCCTTGACCAGGAATCAAAAACCCCCCGCCCTGCGGTGTGGGGGCCAACGCTCTAACCACTGGATTTGCCGGCCGGGCTTACGCTGCTTCTTTCAGCTTGAGCACAAGGTTGCCAAAGGGGGGGGAGGCAAGGTGGCCCCCAGAAAGGGAGGCAGCAGGTGGGGCAGGGTGGGGGCTCCACCGACGGGCTCCCCCTCAGACTCGAGCTCCGAGCCCAGGAGACAAGTGATCCAACACGAGCTCCGAGCCCTGTCCACTCTGGGCATCTCGTGTCCTTCACACGGGGAGACGCAGGCCCGTGGCTGGGGCGCGGGGACACGCACGGCAGGGGCGGGACTGGGTGCCAGGATCTCCGGTGGTTCCTGGCACTTCTGGGTCCCTATCTCTACCCACGGCCCCCAGATGGTGGCCTCTGCCCCTTCTCCCTCCAAAATGACAAACAGCCGCAGCCTGGTGAAGCTCTCCAGCTGGGACGGGTGGGCCTGTAGCAAAACAGTTACCCTCCCCCGTCAAGGACGAGAGCTCCCAGCCCCGGTGGCATCGCAACAGGAAACGCAGGCTCGGGCTCCGCAATCAGCTCATCTCACACTCACCTGGCAGGCGACCTGCCAGACCCATCCCCCTGTGGTCGAGTTTGAGAGCCCCCCCCCAGGCACTTGGCCACGTCGCCCGTCTTACCTGGGCTGCTGGCGAGGAAGGCGAGGGGGCCCTGGCCAGGCTCGGCGGGGCTCTCGGCGCGGCGGGGTGGGCTGCCCAGCAGCGGGGTGCCCCCCTCCAGCTCGGGGCGCGTCCTCACCAGGAGGCCCAGGCTGGGCTGCGAGAGGAAGTCTCTGAGCGCCGAGGAGCTCAGGGTGGCGGCCGCGCGATTACTGATCTCGAGAATCTCATCTCCCGCCTTCAGCCCTGCAACCGACGGAAAATGTTTAGTTTCACACAGAGCGGCAGCACCTCGAGCTCTGCTGCGCCGGGCCCCCGAGCTCCGGGCGGCCCCAGCCCGGTGCCCCCCACACAGACGGTGCCCCGCGGGGGCAGCTCGTGGGGGCCTCGGGCCGGCCCTGCCCTGAGCACAGCCGAGCAGACTTACCCCAATCTCTCCTCACAGGTGCTAATTCCAGGAGAAGAGCAGAAAGGCTCTCTGGTTACTGTGCTGATGGTTTTTGTTTAAAATATGGGGTTTTTTTAATTGATTTTAGAGAAAAAAGAAGGGAGAGGGATAGAGAGAAAGAAACAGAGAGACATCGATCAGCTGCCTCCCGCGTGCCCCCTACTGAGGATCGAGCCCGAAACCCGGGCCTGTGCCCTGACCGGGAATCGAACCGGCGACCTCGCCATGCACAGGCTGAGGCCTGGCCACGGAGCCGCACCGGCCGGCACTGTGCCAGCGTCTGTCCACGCTCACCCCGCACACGCAGCTCAGCCACTGTCCCCGGCCGCGTCTGAACCGAGGTGCAAGGAGCGTGGCCCCGAGACGACCAGGGGGGTCCTACCCCAAACACGTTTAAAGACCACGACTTACAGACCACGACTTGCGATCGTTGTTGCCCCCCTTTTTTTTTTTTTTAACCATATCGGGACCTTGGAGTGGCCACCGTGTGGAAAGTCCCCGAAGGGTCTGCTCCTTTGGCACAGCGGCTGGGGCAGCTGCCCACGCCTGGGACCCAAAGGGGCAGCCCGGCCTCGGAGCACAGGACGCTGGGACCGGCCCAGGAGCAGCTCAACCCGTTGTTAGAAGAACATTCCAGAAGCAGCAGAGCTCAGGAGAGAACATGAAAGTATCTCGTCAGCTAAGCAGAAAGAAGTCTTACAAGCTAAGAGCCCGTGCGGCTCACAAATAAACACGCGCACCCCAAGGGCCGGCTGAGCTGGGGCCAGCGGAAGAGTGGGGTCTAACGAGGCCAAGCTCCCCTGGGGCCCAGGCTGTCCCGAGGGCGACGGCCGGGCTGAGTCCAAGGGGCGGCCGAGGGAGCTGAGTGACGGGCGAGGAAAGACCAGACTTAGACGCTGTCACAGAGCAGAGAGCAAGCAGCTGTCGAGGAGGGAAACGGGGGATGAGGGCTGGGGGGGGGCTGGGGCCTCAGGGGCGTCTGGGGGCCTCAGGGGCCGGGTGACCTCTCCTGTCCCAGGCTCCATCCTGAGCACCACCCAGCACAACACTGCCCCTCGATGGGGTTCGTAGTCAGACAGTGTCTGTGGCCTGAGGATGGACGGACGCACAGCCCCTGCGGAGAACAGAGCCGCAGGGGCGAGCGAGAGGCGTGGAGCAGGCGGCCGTGTGTCTGTCTGTCTGACGCCAGGTTCTGGGATTCAGAGAACCAAACAGGATGTGACTGAAACCAGGGCGCTGGGTCCCCACGCGGGGCCCGCCCACGGCTCCCTCGCTGAGCCAACAGCCCAGGCGCGTCTCAGGCTTGAGGGGGAGAGACCCTGTCACGTCTGCCTTAGTGACACGCGGCTCGGGACTGTCCACCGGGGGCCTAGAACGGGGGCAGGGAAATCTCTTCCAGAGCCGTCAGCCGTGCCCCCGGGTCGCCCTGACCTCACCCGTCACAGCTGTGCCGCTTCTGGGCCCAGCCACGTCTGCTGCTGCTCCCGCCCGGGCTCCCAGCACCCGGCACGAAGACACGCCCAGGTCACCACGGGCCTCACACCAGGCCGAGCTGAGCAGACCCGGGCGACGTGGCCACCACTTCCCAGCGGCTCCACGCGTCCTGGGGCAGACGTGGGCCTCCCACCTGAGCGCACTGACCCACGTGTGGGTCTTTCGCGTCTAACAGGCGTCATCTCGCCACCACCTGGGTGAAACTAAAAACCCCACACCCAGGAGACGAGACGCAGGTGGACGCTAAGCCCCGCCTCCCTGCCCAACGTGAGTGCGGTGGGGGGGGGGGGNGGGGGGGGGGGTTCCAGGGTCCCCCTGAAATTCACACCACCCAGAACTGCAGAGTGTGGCCTCATTTGGAAAGAGGGTCTTGGCAGACGTAACTCAGGTTCGGCTGAACTGGGCGAGCACGCACGTCCGCTGTTTTAATCACCAGTGTGTGGTCGTTTCTCTCTCCAGCCGCAGGAAGCCAGCGATCTAAGGTGAGAGGATCCCCGACCGCAGAGAGGCTGGGGCGGTGGGGCCCCCTCGAGGGGCACAGGCAGGGCTCGGCCAGAAGAGCCCTCCGAGGGGACAGAAGGCTGCGTGGTGACCCCCAGGCTCCCCACGTCTGCAGGTCCCTCCATGAACGGCCGCCGCGAACACCTGCGGGAAGGGCTGTGCCGGCCCAGCGAGGGGCAGCCAGCTCTGACCGCGGGCACCCAGGTCCGCCGTCCGTCCCGGGCGGTGGGGAAGGACAACCCCACAACCCCATCTGTCCGGTCAGCACGAATTTCCCACCAGCCCCGGGGAAACCGGCTGGTATCAGATGAAAAATCCAAGACTGTGGCTTTTCTTACACACCTGGGTTTACGGAATAACGTCCGGTTCCCTGGAGGGGTTTCAACGAGACCAGGTTCAAACACTCTTTACAGGGCACCCTGTCAAACGGTCTCACCCGCCAGCTGGAGGAAACCCAAAGGCATTTAAGACGGACGGACAGACAGGCAGCCCGGCCGGGCGGGGCTCAGCAACTGAGCGTCGACCTCGGATCCAGGCGATCGGGGTTCGATTCCCGGTCAGGGCACAGGCCCAGGTTTCGGGCTGCAGCTGATCAATGACTCTCATCATTGATGTTTCCATCTCTCTCTCTCCCTCTCCCTTCCTCTCTCTGAAATCAATAAAGATATATTAAAATAATAATAATAGGACAGACGGAGCGCACAGTGAGCGACTCACCTTTCTTGGAAGCTAAGCCGGTTTCCTTCACGCTGTTCACGTAGAGCCTCCGGACGCCCTCTTCCTCCACGGACGACAGCGAGAACCCTGGAAGCACAGAGACGGGTGGGCCTCGCACCTCTGGGTGCTGAGCAAGCAGCCGGCGGGGCCGCAGCGAACGAGGGCCGCTCGGGGCCGCGGCTGTGCTTTGGTTTTCCCTGTTCACACTGTTTTACAAGCAGGAAAACGCCTTTTGAGGTCCCTGCAAAAGAAGTCGCTACCTGTGAAAGTTACCACCACCCGGCCCCTCACTCTCCCGACCTGTGGGCTCCGAGGGAAGACGGTCATTGTGTTCTACCCGCTGGCCCGTGGCCGCCGCAGGCCGCAGCCCCGCCTTCCTTGGCTTCCCCCGGGGCACAGGACAGCGAGATTCCCCGGGGCCCCTGGCTCTTTCCAGTTCCCCTCTGCCCCGGGACACGTCACACACGCTGCCACACGGACGCCGCTCTGATTATTAAAATTCTGCAAACAGCCCGGCTGGGCGTGGCTCAGCGGTTGAGCATTGACCTGGGATCCAGGCGATCAGGGTTCGATTCCCAGTCAGGGCACAGGCCCGGGTTGTGGGCTCGATCAATGACTCTCATCATTGATGTTTCTCTCTCTCTCTCTTCCTCTCTCTGAAATCAATAAAGACATATTTTTAAAAATAATAAAATAAAATTCTGCAAACAGCCTCAAGCAGCAGCTCCCTTTAAATCCAGCCTCACACTGAACCTGACTGATCTCAAGACAAGCGTCTGAGGACCCGACACACGGCCAAGTATCCCTGAGCTCAGAGCCCACCAGCTGATCGATCTCTGGCTTGGCTACATCTTTCAGAAACATGGGCGGGACATGCCACGAAAATGTTACGTGGTCTGGGGGCCTGGGGGCTCCCGCTCCTCTGGCTGCAAGGCCTGGTCCCCTCTGCTCTAGAAAGTCTCGTGTGAAATCTCTTCCGATCAATGGGATGTCCAGGACACACGCGCCCCCCCCCCCTCAGGATAAGATGCTCGAGCGGGTCATCTAGAAGGGCCACGGAAACGAGGGGACAAAACCTCGGCTCCGGGCGGGAAGCAATCCCGTCGGGCAGAGGCCCAGGGACTTAAACAAGCGGATGGTCGCAAAACAGAGTCATCCTTTACGGGACGGGGCCCGGAGAGAACTGGGACTTTGAGGCTGCGTGTGTCATAACGAACGTGTGTTTTTTGTTTCCTTCGCAGGGCGAGGAAAACAGGCGCCCACATGTGGGCAACACGACCCACGGCCACCGCCCACGACGGTCTCAGGATCCCTCAGACGGAGAACGGGCCACGCCCGGCACACTTTCCAAACGCTTCATTTTTTTAAAAAAAAAAATATATGTGTTTTTATTGACTTTGAGAGGAAAGGAGAGGGAGAGAGAGAAGCATCAGCGAGAGGGAGAAGCACCGGTCGGCTGCCCCCTGCAGGCCCCCGACTGGGGATCGAGCCCGCAGCCCGGGCCTGTGCCCTGACCCGGAATCGAACCAGCAGCCTCCTGGCGCAGGGGCGACGGTCAGACACCTGAGCCTCTCCGGTGGGGCCCGAGGACGGCACACGGTGGATCGTCTGCGGTCCAGGAGGGAACAGTTTTTCCTTTTAGCTGTGAGAACAGTCCCAGAGTCAAGGGCTATGTCACGGGAATGAATGGGCAGAATTCATTCAAATACGGGCACTTCCTCTCTAGAACGCGACCCGTCTGTAAGTCCTGAGACCAAAACTTTTTTTTCCTATGGAACATAAAGGGAGCGGACGGACGGGGTGCCGGGGACCAGCTCGGACGGCAGGCGCCAGGCGGGGCCGGAAGCCGAGGGTGTGACGTCACCTGAAGACAGGATCACGGCGACGGTGGAGGGGCCGCCGGCCGGTCCCCCTTCTCGTTTCTCCTCCCTAAGAACGAGGGGAGGAGGCGCCCGGCCTGAAGTGACTGTGAGTGTCCCCCGGAAACGGGGAGTGGACCTGAGTAACAGCCGGGACGTCTCGGGGGGGGGGAGTCTCCGTGACAGGGACAGGACTGCAGGAAGGACAGTGACCACAGCTCCTGGGAGACCCCTCAACTGGAGCCAACAACTTACAAGGGGACAGAGCACTGGAGCCCACCCTGGGGGTCCCATGGGCTCAGGGTCGCCGGGCATCCTGGGCTCAGGGTCGCCGGGCATCCTCTGGGTGCCAGCGATGTGCACCCCAGGGGACGACCACCTCCTACATCAACACACACGGGAACCCTCGGCTTCCTACGAGGAGAGGTTTTAGCAATAAGCAGGCACTCGAGCGAGATTCCTTTTCTCCTCAACGGGACAGAGCCTTCCGACCTCCAGCAACAAATGCGAGGTGGCCCAAAGCGGCCCCCACACACGCCAGGCGGGGTGGCGGACGGGGCTCCTGACCCTGACGATGGGGCAGGCGACGGAGACCGAGGGAAAATGCTGAGACGACACGCGGACGCGGAGCGCGCAGGGGTGGCTCAGACGGAAAGTGGGGCCAGAGCGGCCACGGCAACAGACGAGGACTCGCACCCCGGTTCCGGGAAACACGGACACTCAGAGCGAGAGACGGGGGAGACACCAGTGACAGAAACACGACGGTGGGGCTCCCGGAGGAAAGGGAAGCCTGTGGCGGCAACGGTGCCCCCCCCCCCCC